AACTAATTTTAAACACGGATGAACGTGCCTGCAAGTTTAGAAAAGAAAACAGCACTGATAGCATTCATATTTCTGGATGGTTATAAAATAAAAACAGAACTGACACGTTATTACTGGTAATTTGCATGTTTAGAAGAAAAGAACAGCACTGGCACAGCATTAATAAGCCCTGGATGATTAGAAAATAAAAACTGCACACAAAACATGCCTGGTTAGTAAGTAAAACACACTTGCCTACCAGAAAAAGTCATTCGCTCTCATCTTCCTCTTGCGCACTAAAGCCATTAAAGTCCTCTTCAGTGTCGGAGTTGAACAGCCTCAGAAGAGCTTCGTCACATACCTTTTCTGTGGCGATGTCAGTGTCGCTGACCGTGTTGCTGTCATCATCCCCGGGTGAAGCTGGCTTGAATAAGTTCTTCCTGCTGCCGTCTCCAGCGCTGAACCATGGATTCATTCATGCCAAGCTTACGTGCGGCAGCACTGTTTCCCTCCTTTACTGCCAGATCGATGGCCTTCAACTTAAATGCGGCATCATATGAACTCATACGTGTAGTTACCATGATGAGGGGGTATGGATTTGAAAAAAAGTACTTCGTCGTGCCGGCTGCTTGCATGTGCTAAATTAAAATGAGCACTTTCTTTGATTTCCGCTTTTGACTTCCACCTGTTTCACTTTCTGCTAAAGCGCACCCTGGCAGGTGAAGGAAAATCTTCAGTTAAGCCACACCTCATTATAAGCCGCATGGTTCAAAGCGTGGGAAAAAGTAGCGGATTATAGTCCGGAAAATACGGTAATTAAGAAGTCAGTGAAATTGGTTCCCTAGTGAAGAGTTAAAATCACATTTGCAATATATTTATAAATTCATCATATTAATGCAGTTTTCTTTTATTCCATTGTCCTTTGCCAGTATTGTTTCTGACCATCACAACAAAAAGATGCCACTGGATGAGGACTGCCATGCCTGGAAAAAGAAGACCTCAGATGTGAAGGAGAAGTATGACTTCAAAGAGATCCTGGGAACGTAAGTGAAGTTTTTTCTTATTGTTGTCATCAGAAAAAAATTGTTATGGGCCAGATTTGAATGTAACATTTTAGCTGTTTTTTTAAAGCAGTGGCGTTTTCATAAAGGTGAGTGTATTTAAATGTCCAATGAGGATATCTGTTAACTGGTAACTATGATGCACAAAACATGGGCGGTGCTAGGCAGTAGCTTGGGGCTCCTAAAGCAAAGCTTAGCAACCCCAAACCTTAAACCCCCCTCCTTCAGTCCGCACCGACTGACACCAAAAGGCGTTCCCGTGATTGCAAGCAAGGAGAAAGATGGCATCACATATCCAAAAATGTCTGTGGTTTATTTTATTTTCTGTTTAGCTCGGCTACAGCTACGTACTTTTTTTTTTTTTTTTTTTTTTACTAGTTAAGCAACCGGAAATCTGCATGGGCTTTTATTTTGAAAGTTTCCAGATGTTTTACACTGCTTTTATGTTTGACTTCCTGTCTTGCCCAGTCTGACCTACTGAGGTTGATGAGTTGTGTAGCGTGTAAAAACAGTCTTGAAGTGTAAGCGATGCGACCCTACGCGTCCAGAATGCGATGCTTCACGTCTGTGGAAATTCCCCATCCACTATAACAACTGTGTACTGTGTTTCATGAGCCTTTCCCGTCCGGTGGAAAGGCCTGGTTAGCCACGACATGCTTATGTTTACTTGCATTGCTTGGTTCTTTTAAAACACAGAAAAAAAGTGTGCCCATGAAGTTGGTGATGTCACTTCCTTCTCCGTTTATCTGCTGCCCGCAGATAAACGGAGAAGGAAGTGACATCACCAGCATTGACACAGCTCTCAGGATGGCTATAGTAATTAGCTGAAACGTTAGCAAAACAAGGTAAAGAACAACTCTTTTTTTGTTCTGTATTTTTAAAGAACCGAGCAATGCAAATTGACAAAATACACAGAATGAACGTACAGAAGATGCTTATGTTTAGTTTAGATTTTTTTTGTAAAAAAATAGAAGCTAATTTTATTCATTAATGAATGCCGTTTTCCCAGTTCATGCTATAGTTTTGCTAATTAGCAGGAAATCGTAATAAACCTTTATTTAAATGCTGTTGATTCTTGCAACGGTGTAACATACTCTCATCAAGATAGAATAATTCCTTTCCTCTGAAGTCCCTGCTGGGTTCTACTCGGTCCTTCTGACTAAATGGTTCTGCTGTTCCTCCTCCAGTTAACATTGGACTCAATTCCCTGAAGTCCATGAAGCAACTTAGACCCCGGTTTGTTTTCAAAAACATGTTTTGATTCATTGTTGGTGGTAGTTAAAAGTAACTTTTATTCCTTGATCTAACTTTCTTTCCTTTAAAGAATCTCAATGCAAACACTGTAAGTGAAAGTGTCACGAGATGTTTGTTCAAGGTAGCATCTTTTTACACACCCACATCCTTGTTTGCTCAGGATTAAATCATGCGAGCACTAAGTCAATCTAGTGAAAACCTAAACTTGTTTACTGACATTATGAAAAATTTCTTAAGCATACTAGAGCAGAGGCATAAAAAAAGTCAGCCTGTCATGCTATTTATGGTTATACGTGTGGTCTGTGTAATTACTGCAGAAGCACTGATGACAATCTAGGGTTCACTTTTAACTCTCAAAGTGGAAAACAAACACAAAGAATTTTTGGCACCATTTGCTAATGCAGAATAAAAAAGAAACAATTATATATTATGTAATATATATATATATATATATATATATATATATATATATATATATATATATGTGTGTGTGTGTGTGTGTGTGTGTAGCTCCTGAAATCGGAACTTTTGTATGATGTAAATTTTCTATTTCACCTAGTCATTTGGGATTAGTAAACAGAAATGGAAGATAGAATGCCTTCTCCAGGTCAGAGACTAGGTCCTGCCTCAAGTGGAGGAGTTTAAAGAGTAACTAAACCCCAAAATATATATTTTTTGCTTATAAACTTTATAATTGGGTCTTTAGAAATGCAATCTTTCTGTGCATTTTTGACACGTTTGTGTAAACTTGATTAAATCTAGAGTCTAGGTCTAAAAACGTCTTATTGCTGCCCCGTGTGGGTTGAACTATGGCTACTGCATTTTAAACTTGTGATTGACTGGGGCTGGAACAGTTTCATGTCATCGGTACAGTCTCCTGCCACTCCCCCTCCCTCCCGAGATGGAAATTCCCCACACTTGGCCATGCCACTCCGTGCCTCCTGGTAACGCCCACTTTCACAGCATTTTTCAAATCTTGACTGTGGTGGAGTTACATTTTCTGATGGTGGTGCAGTCCCTCTTTAAATATCTCGCTGTCTTGTTCATGAGTGAGGGAAAGATGGAGTGCGAGATCAATAGGTGGATTGATGCTGCGTCTGCAGTGATGCGAGTGTTGTACCGGTCTGTCGCGTTGAAGAGAGCTGAGCCGGACGGCGACGCTCTTGATTTACCGGTCGATCTACGTTTCAACCCTCATCTATGGTCACAAACTTTGGGCAGTGACAGAAATAATGAGATTGCGGATGTAAGTGGCTGAAATTAGTTTTCTCTGCATGGTGGCTGAGATCTCCCTTAAAGATAGGATGAGAAGCTAGATCATCCAGGAGGAGCTTGGATTAGATCAGCTGATCCTCCCCATCGAGAGGAGCCAGTTGAAGTGGCTTGGGTATCTAGTTAGTTATTTTCCGGGCACGTCCAACTGGGAGGAGACCCAAAGGAAGACCCAGGACTCACTGGAAGGACTTTTTTTTAGGCTGTCCAGGGAATGCCTTGGGATTCCTCCAGAAGAGCTGGGGCAAGTGGCAGAGGAGAGGCAAGTCTGGGCTTCTCTGCTTAGACTGCTGCCCCTGTGACCTGACCTCAGATAAGCGGAAGAGAATGGATGGATGGATGTTTCTGAACAAATAGTTGAAAATTTGAAATCTGGATAATTAAGTGAATGTGTTTTTTAAAATAAAAAGAAACTAGATAAAATCATACTAATGAGAAGTAAATCTCCTCAAATTAGGACAGCAAGTCTAATTTAACAAAATCAAATGATCTAGTGCAGCTGTCCTCATAAGTCATCCTCACACAGGCCTTTAGGAGGTTAATGGCATTAGCTAAACTTTTGACTCTATATTTTTGTGCAACCTAAAGAGGCCTTTGTCACTGTTTCTGTATTCCTGAAGAGGCAATTTTTTGTTTTAGTACACTTTTTATCAAAATGTTAAATGCCTGAATGAAAGATCCAAGGCGATGGGCAACAAACATGAAAAGGCTTTCCAGTCCCATCACCACATTGTCATCCATCCAGTTCCCCTCCACCTGCCTCTGGTTTGGGGCTAAGCTTGTCTGTTGAGAGATCGCCCGCTCACTGCATCACTCAGCTGTGTGCTGCACATTCATTTGCCATTGCTGGGTTGTTGTCTTGGTAACAACAGGAGACACTTTCCATAATGGACTCAAATAGTCACTATGGAAACAAAGTTTTTGATTTGCTATTAATAATCCAACCACCAAGCACATGTGTGTGCATTGTGCATGAGATAAACTCACTTCTGCAAGAAAATGTAGAAAAAGTCATGAAGATATTTTTTGATATGTGCTTATTTGATGAAGACTAACTTATTTGAAATGTTAAGATTTACCATCAGTTTTTTCCATTAAGTCAGTCATGTTTGAAGCATTCAAATATGTTAATTTCTTATCCAATAAAAATATATTTTATTTGTATTAAATACTTTAGTTAAATTTCAAAAGGCAATAATAACATATTTGAATGTTTTCCTTTAGATTTCTTCAGGCAAAGCTCTTAACTGTTAAATTTTTTTCATTCATGCACATTTATTACGAAATCAATTAAATGAATGAGCACAAACAGAAAATTGTTTAAAAAGAAGGCATGGTTTAAATATGATGGGTAGGATAGCAGTGGCATGTGTCTGTTTGTACTGATAATCCCCAGATGAAACCATATGTCCTCTAATCACAACAGATGGGGATTAACAATACACAAATAGCACTTTCACTGCAATCAACTCGGATCCTCTCCTGCTTTCATCCCCTTTTTAATTTTTCTTACTATTTAAGTCACCCACCACCCACCACCATCTCTTTCTCTCTTTCTACAGGTGCTGGCCAGTAAATTAGAATATCATCAAAAGGTTGAAGATATTTCAGTAATTCCATTCAGAACGTGAAACTTGTACATTATATTCATGCAATGCACACAGACCAATGTATTTCCAATGTTCATTACATTTAAATTTGATATTCATAAGTGACAACTAATGAAAACTCCAAATTTGGTATCTCAAAAAATTAGAATATTCTGAAAAAGCTGAATATAGAAGACACCTGCTGCCACTCTAATCAGCTGATTTACTCAAAACACCTGCAAAGGCCTTTAAAAGGTCCCTCAGTCTTGTTTTGAAGGCACCACAATCATGGGGAAGACTTCTGACTTAACAGCTGTCCAAAAGACAATCATTGACACCTTGCACAAGGAGGGCAAGACACAAAAGGTGATTGCTAAAGAAGCTGGCTGTTCGCAGAGCTCTGTGTCCAAGCACATTAACAGACAGGCGAAGGGACGGAAAAAATGTGGTAGAAAAAAGTGTACAAGCTCTAGGGATAACCGCACCCTGCAGAGAATTGTGACGACAAACCCATTCAAAAATGTGGGGGAGATCCACAAAGAGTGGACTGCAGCTGGAGTCAGCGCTTCAAGAACCACCACGAGGAGACTCATGAAAGACATGGGATTCAGGTGTCGCATTCCGTGTGTCAAGCCACTCTTGAACAAGAAACAGCGCAAGAAGCGTCTCGCCTGGGCCAAGGACAAAAAGGACTGGACTGATGCTGAGTGGTCCAAAGTTATGTTTTCTGATGAAAGCAAGTTCTGCATTTCCTTTGGAAATCAAGGACCCAGAGTCTGGAGGAAGAGCGGAGAAGCACAGAATCCACGTTGCATGAGGTCCAGTGTAAAGTTTCCACCGTCAGTGATGGTGTGGGGTGCCATGTCA